TTCCGTGCACTGATGAGTCTTGACCCGAAGAAGCGGTCACTCATCGGAGCCCGCGCTGCTCTCCTCCGTCTCGTCAGCTTCACCACGTCAGAGGAGGATATGGATGATTTCTGCTCCACTGAGAAGACTGTGGTGGCCAGTGCCAACCGCGAGCCTCTCCGCACCCCATCTATCCAGAGCCCAATGGTTGACAACGGCGCCTTCCCCTGGACCAAGGCCCTGCACACCACTCCCCCCAAACCTATCCGCCAGCTCAGCGTCATCCCCGACGACGAGAGCTACTCGGAAGACCTCTTCTCCAAGTCTGGTGGAACAGCCGGGTGGTTCTCCGGGTCCATCGAGGCACCGTCCTTCTCTTCGACCTTCAACTCGACTTTGACCATGGGTACGTCGATGAAGTCCATGGCCATTCAACGTCCGGTTCCCGCCGTGTCTCGACCACCTCCTCGCACCTCTGCCATCAGTGGCTCTCTCCCCGTCACCATGTCCAAGCCTCGCAATGTTCACTCGTCCGGATCCCTTGGGTTCGGTCGTCTCAGTGATGTCGTATCCAAGAGCTGGAGCGACATGTGGGACGAGGACATTGAAGAAGAGGAAGAAGAGGCTCGCCAGCAACTCGAGTCATTGCGTGCCATGAACTCCAGGACCTGGAGCCAAGAGAGCAAGTCGGCAGAGGCGGACCAGGCCACTGTCGTCGCCGACAACGCGTCTGTCGTGCACAACGACGTCGATGACGACCTGGTCGCAGACGGCTTCTTCTTCCAGGAGGCTCCTGCTCCCAAGCCGTCCACGGTGGACCTTTCGACCCGTTACTCCCCCCCTCCCAAGCGCAGCAACGTTGACAAGTGGGCTGTCCTCGGCCAGCGACGTCGAGCCTTAGCCGGACAGTCAGAACCAAACAAAACGCCTGACTGGCTCAAGCCTCGTCGGCCATCGGTCACGGCGCATCAGCCAACACCCGTCACGGGGTTCTGGGAGCAGTATGGATTACACATTCAGACTCCAAACAAGACTGTGAAGGAACGAAACAAGGATTGCCCATGGAACAAGGGCAGAGATTGGAATTACTGGCGCCGAGACAAACGTTCAGAACTCGGTGACGTCGAGTGGGTTGGCGGCTGGCAGGAGGCTCACTCCTAGCTGGTCGTCTCTTGTAGTTGGATCACCTCTTTGAGGTGCATGTCGGCTCATGGGCACCCGGGTGTGCCTTGATGCGCGACATGCAGACTAGCCTTTTGGATGCACGGTCTCAACTCGCCTTCTGAGTATTAGCTATCTCCAGAATAATCTAGAATACCAGAGGTTACCCACTACATCTTGCTTTCCCCCGAAACGTGATCATGCTAACTAGGATCTGTGCCCACTGCGTGTGGCGTGGCCTGTGCCCGAGCACCTATAGGCGCTCGGAACTGATGCGAGGGAATCCCATATGTGACAGCCTAGGCCGTGTTCGACTTCAGAACCATGGGTCAGATGTAGTGACATGTCCCTGTTGCACAACCCGAGGGCAATCGGTATCACGCGAGGTTCAACCTGTCACCAAGGCGTTTGTCGATTTCAAAACATCAAATGAGCCCGCTCCGCCCCCCTTTCCCTTCAGTTGACACCGCCCCACAAGACGGACTACCTGCCACGTGCCTCGACAGGCGGACGCAGTGGCGGGGCCTTGTGCGAGCAAGACGGCGTGGACATGCTGCGACTTGGGAGGGCATGGAGGGCCGGCAGGAGTGCCACGACTACTTTGTACATTTCGCGGTGTTGTATCTGTGTATATATATATATATGCATGTGACGCCGATGATGCAAAAAGAACGCAGAAGGTGTTTCTTCCCCCCTCTCCTCCCCCCCCTCCTCAAAAGAAAAAAACAAGGCATGTTTCCTGATCTCAACCTGGCGGTGCTTTTCCTTGGTCGCGCCCCTCGTCTTTCCCTCCTCTCCTCGTCTTTCTTTCGTTTCTTGTTTGTTTGTTACGTGTTTGTTACGAGAGAGAAGAAAAAATGCGACAGGCTGCCGTTCACGCGGCGCCTATGAGGTCCTTGGGCAAAAAAGGCCCATACGGTTCCGATGAAGGACAGGGTGGTGGAGACGGCCATGATGACGTAGCAGAGAAGTCTTTCTTGGGCGGAGATTTCCTTGCCGAAGAGCTTGACGTAGAAGGCGACGGGAAGACTGTGGCGAGACGAGGAAGAGCAACTGTTAGTCTGGAAGGCATGGAAGGCATGGAAGGCATGGACGGAGGAGAAGGGGGGGGGGGGTGGAACGCACATGACGCAAATGGTGAAGCAGAGGGCGCTGCCCATGAAGGCCATGATGCTGTCAAACGAGGGGAAGAGGATGGAGATGACGAGGAAGACGAGAATGGTGGCGACGCGAATGAAGATGCGCATGAAGCCGCGGAAGGTCGCCGAGCGGCCGACGAGGCCGTCGCTGTCGGCCATGGCATGGTGGTGGAGGCCGGCGAGGACCTCGACGGTGGCGATGATGGGGCGGCCGTTGAGGGGGATCTTGGTAAGAGGGATGATGGCGATGAAGACGCAGAGCAGGACGGTCAGGGCTCGGGGGTAGCCGCTCGTCTTGAGGATGTTGGCCGTGATCTCGTCGAGGACGCCGTCTCCGAACATGAGGAGGCCGACGACGGCCGTGACAGCGTCGAGGGCGTACTGGATGTGCAAAGATTGGCACGGTCAGCGTGTGCGTATCACGGCGAGTCAGAGAAAGGGGGATCGTTGTGTTGCGCGTACCGAGAACGAAAAGGTCACCTTGATGGCCTTGCCAAACTTTTGCGGGTGGCGCATGTCCCTGTAAATCTTGAGGCAGGCCGTGTCAGTGACGTCTGTACGTTGGGCGCGATGCTCACAGGGCCAGAAGAGGGGGGGGTTGCATACGTTGGGGAAGACGCTGTGGCCGCCCCACGGCGACATGAGCAGGCCGAAGGACAGGGGCAGGGTGAGCCAGTTGGCGGGGAACAGGTAGGTGCGGGCCGGCTCGATGAGCGAGCCCGGCGTCTCCTGCTTGATGAGGCCGTCGATGACAACAATGGACACAACTATTGCGCGGTCAGCAACACGGACCATGCTTGATGGTCGTCCAGTATGGGCGCAGTACAAAGGGAGAAAAAGAAAAAAACAAGGAGGGGGGGACGCACTGGAGAAGCATCTTTCTGATGCCAATGACGCTCGTAAAGCTCAGCAGGCGCAGGGGGGGGGAAGTTCAGGGGGATCAACAGCAGGGCGCAGACGAACTTCCACATGGTCAGGGTCAGGACGCCGGGGAAGAGCAGGACGAGGGTGTCGGCGAACAGCACGAATTTTTTTTACGAA